AGAAGGCCAAACAATATACAGAGAACCGCGCCGCAAAGCTACAAAACTGAAATCAAAATTCTACCTTTCTCCTGGGTTATTTGACTCTGAACAACGCGGCCCAGGAGCTACGCTTTTAGGCTGGCCTAAATCTATATATTATTGTGGGCTCTTACATCAACAGAACCACCACAGCTACATTTTAAAAATTCAAAATTTTCATAGTTTTCTCGATCATTTCAGGTACTTACTTTATCTTATATATTTATGTCTGTGGTTCTATTCTGGTTTCTTTTGATCTAATTAATGCAAATATAATTGTTATTTCAGCCCGAACGTGGTTAATGTCACTCCTTTTTTTGCCTGAAAACCTTTCGTTTAAATGTCTTGCTTAGTGCCAATTGTAGGAACCGCTGTCCTAGAGATTTCCGCGGCTCAGACGGAATGGGAAAACACATTTCATGAAGGTTTAGCTTGTGGGAAGCTCCGTAATTTGCATGTTTTTTGTCATGTTGGTTTGTGAACGTAGCCCTGGTGGGTTAATTAATTTTGGAATTATTTACTTCTGCGCCAGATGGCCCGTTTCACTGTGCCGAATTTGAAATGAATGCGGCTTGGTTTGTAGTTATTCCTTATAAGTAAAAAGCCGAAACAATCGCTTTTGTTGTGGAAACATACAAACATACAGTCGTCGTAAAGAAAGACGAATGAACTTATCGTGAAAGAAAACTTACAAGGATTTGAAAACCGCAACGTCAAAACATTAGGAAAAGCAATTCTTATTTCAAGTTGTGACTTTTCGAGCTTTTATTTGCTAACTGTGGTTATAAAAGACTCAAGGATCGCCCACAAAAAACATAAGCTGGTTTGCGCAAGAGTGAATTGTACATGACAAAGCCATTTTATAGCCGGTCGCGCGCTCCGAAAAGAAACTGTGTCATTTTCGTTGTGGCAGGAGTTTTTGATTAATGGTTCGGCTTGGTTTGGAAATAGACGATCTCTACCCAATGAATTTAAATCTTGTGTCTCAAAAATACGACGTGAAGAGTTTATGGCCAAAATGTTTTATGTAAATATACAAATTTGAAGGCAGGTGCGTTGGAAAACAGTATATAATTAATTGATTTTCTCGAAGCTTGTTGGCTAGTATTTTGGGTCTTCGTAATTTGTTGCTTGTGATAAGACTTTTGATGCCCTGAATTCACACAGAGCGAACTGAGAATTTACCAAACAGCTTTTCCGAAACGATCCAGAAACATATCTAAGGTATTATTTGGTCATTTTAGGTCAGAGCTACATAATGTTGACTCCATCTAGATTTTGCATTTAAATAATTCAATTACGTTTGGCAGAGATCGTATGCGAAGAAAATGAAATATTCCGTGTGGGTGACTGTAGCAATTCCGAGAACCCAAGAGTAATTTCGGTCCCTCAGTTGTGTTAGCAGAAACGCGATAATGAAAAACGCAGTGACACAAGAGATAATCTGAAGAATTTCGCCAAGGATATCTGCCTCAGCAAACGGTAAGTGTAATCACCATATCTGTAGCGGAAAAAGTTCTTAGATATACTTCAGAAAACCAGATCGTATATCCGTGGCAAGCTGAAAATCGCTAACTGTGTTTTCGCTTTCGACGAATTGCAATTTTGTTAATTTTTTCCGAGTTCTTAATCGACCAATCGTATCTTGTTTATGTTGGCGAAAAGTGAAAAGAGCGCGTCTTAATTGATGTTCTTTCTAATATTTTCAGTAGTTTGAGAAAAAGTCTTCATTTCCAATATTCTCGACACCAGATGGACGGCTAACGCACCTCGGACAATTGTCTGCCGAAGTTTCCTCGCATCGCAGATGGATTTTACATCGAAAATCGGTGGCTTTTTTCGAAGCATTATTAACCCAGAGGGTGAAACTCAAAACACAGACAAATCATCAGAGGAAAATAGGTAGGAAATCTGAAATGTAGGGCATAAAATTATTTCTTTATTGTGAGGTTATTTTCATATTCAATTGCGTTCTTTTTGTCGACTTGCGTAGTTGATAGGGTGGGGTTGGAAAATTCCGCAGCAAACAAATTTTTGCTCTCGGTTTGAGCTGAATATAAAGTGCGTAGACGCAGAAAATTGAGAATTAGATGGCTAGAAAATCAAAAATAAATAATTGAAATATGACTAAAAGTCGAGTGTCTGTCATGTTTTGGTTTGGTCGCTCGCGAGCAAGGAGATTGACTTCAAAACACGAATACAGCTGTTGCTGATAATTGTAAAGTCAAATTTATTGCTTAAGAATATTTTGGCTTTTTAGTCAATAGAGAGCCACCGGGAAAGATAAAATTGACAATAGGAAGAAGTTAATACGCTTGAATAGAGCATTCTCAATAGAGAAAAAAGGAGAAACAGCAATTTGATTTACTAGAAGGCGAAACCTCATTTGAAATTCACGCGCGAAAAGAATGGGTTTATCGAAATATCGTCAAACGAACGAACGCAATACGTGAAAAACATACATAATTGACTGGGCAAATATTTTAATTTTGTAGGTACATCAGAGCATCTTAAATGAGTTGCGAACCAATAAGGGTAGCGAAACGGTGCTAGCAAATAAACAGAACTAAGGAATTAAGAGTTTAGCAGACAAAGATGTAGCAACTCTGGTATTTGTGCCAAGAAATCTACCTGGGGACTGTTTTGTTAATGTCGCGTAATTGAGGCTTCTGATATGAATGTATCCCCTGTTAAATTTTTTATACGTCCTTTGCCATTGTTTCGCTGTTGTCTACATTTTAGGCAAGCTCCTGGCGAAGCAAGAACGGCGGAAGACGAAGGAGATTATGACGAGAGGGATGCCGAGTATTTAGACGATGATGATGAGGAAAATACTTCTGCGTTCTTCACAAGAAATAGTTCCCTGCCGTTACCTTCTAAATCAAAGCAAGACTCGAGCGCGGGCGCTTTGGCGTTGCAAGTCCCTAACATAGGAGGAGGAATTAGACGCAGGAACACACTGGCAACTGCCCCAAGTTACGGACTGAGCGGTTTAACTAATGGAAGATCTGCACCCAATGTTGTTGCTCGCACCAAGCAGAACGTAGAAACCAGCAGCATTGTGTCGGACGACGAGACGGTACGAGGAAGCGCAGCTCGAAGAGAATTTGGAAGCCTTCCTGCGAGGAGTCGAAGTGAGACTCCACGGACATTTGGCGGGACGCCATCGAAGAGGATTTCGAGCTCGAGTACTGTGTCTGAGTGGAATATGGACTCAAATGTGCGCGGTGTGGGTCGGCTCCATGTCGTTCTAGACTTCACAATGCACACAGCCAAGCTCTCTGTAACTGTTACAAAAATAGAATTTCCACCGTATCATCAAAGAGATACTTCTTTGTTAGAAGTCAGCGTCATGCTGTTGCCGGGAAAACGGCAAAGTTTTCGAACAAAACCCAGGGATTTTAACGAGCCCATGGCAATGTATTTGTATCCTAAAGACAAGATTAAGGATATGTCGCTTAGATTTCGCCTTTACGAGCAAGGCGCTATGGGTTCCAAGCACTTATTAGGCGAAGGAACTCTTCGGCTCCGATCGGTGGATCTAGATTCAGAAATGATACCTGCTTCGGTGGATTTGCAGCCACCGGGTTCGTATGTTCCCGAAGCAGCTTCGGGAGCGATCATGTACGAAGGGGAACTGGCGATCTCCGAAGAAGACAGACCCGAAATTTTACTGTCTTTGGAATACCGCCCTCTTACGGGAAAACTCCTTCTGGAAGTGATCAAGACGAGAAACTTGGGAATGTTAACTGATTCGAAAGCACGTGAAACTTATGTTGGTGTACGAGTCGTTAAAAGCACTGGTGAGCTTATCAGCAAAAGTAAAACCACACCAAGAAGGCACATGATAGATCCAGAGTACAACGAGATGTTCCTGTTTCATGTACCCGAGCATGAACTAAACGCTGTCACTGTTTTGTTGACTGTGACGAGCATAACAGCTCGTACACTGGCTTTAAAAAAACATCGAGTTGGAAGAGTCTCACTCGGACAAAACTACAGCAGCGAGGAGGAATTACGGCATTGGTACGAAATGACGCGAAGGAAAGAAAAATCCATTGTGGCATGGCACAGAATTAACGAGATGTAGAAAACAATAGACTAAATCAAAACTAGCCAGAACATTTTATCTAAAACGTTTTACAAGAAATAGATTTCCAAAACAGGGCAAAACATTTCAAAACAGACCCAGCTTGGTTCACATTGTAATGGATTAGATTTTTTGTTATGTTTTCCAAAGTGTTGTTGACCTCGATTCATTGTAAGCGGAATAGCTTAAGCAATGTTAGTCGTCTTGGCTAAATAAACCCGAGATAAAGCAATTTTGTACAATTATTTTTAAACCCCCAAAAGGGTGTATTCCGGACACAAGGTGTTAATACGTTTGTCCATAGTAGTTATTGAGTGTGTATACATAGAGTTGACAAATTAAAACCAAACCACGCGTAAATTGACTTTGGCTTTATACATAGCTAATGATTTTGGGTACAAAGATTTCCGTGCCCGTCTGGTGGATATATATTTCTCATCTTGTTTTAAATACACGGTCGAATGATGGAGTTTCGTGGTTTACAGCCGCACCCTAACTAACCCGCAACCACACCTTTTCATATTTAGTAACTGTGATGAAAATACCGCGACTAAGTTGCTTCTAGTTCTTATTCCAAATAGAATTCAAGAATTTTTATGCCGACAGAAGCATAAATAGAAACGGCAGCCATTTTAAAATGTAGAGAACATTTCTACAGCAACGATTTTTAACAGATGCGAGTTTTAAGTAGATCGACGCTCGCTTTGTAGCTTTAATGTTGATTGTTGCTTTTTAAACACGAGAACGTTTTACTTATTTTAAACTTGAAGAAAAAATATTTTGCGTTTGATGCAGCAGGGCTGGTAGTATACAAAGTGACAACTTTGATAAAATCTGTGTGTTCGTTCGATTATCCTAACCTTGACAAAAAAGCAAAACGTTCAAAGAGCCTTGATTTATTCATTGTAGTTCTAAGCCTCATGTAACTTTTGTGCATACCCCTTACTTATTTCCATTCTTTCTTGTGGTTCATAGTCGGCATATCACAATTCTGAATTGAATTCTCTACATTTGTTTTGTTTTTAATGTATTGACATTAGATATCGATAATTTTGCTCCATTTTATCCTTGTACACACTCACTCAATGTTTATGCGTTATGTGTATCTTTGCGTTGCTTGAATCGTGTTTGGATACATTTTGAGCTGTTGCTCACACTAGACTCCAGAGATAGTTCATGGTATATTGCAATACCGCGCCAGGATTAATTGATGTTTAGTATTTAGTCATTTATCAGTGTTCCCCATGCATACCGCATGTTTTCGACTTGGTTATGATCCTCCAGGACTCGTTCCGACAACGGGGAAGAATAGTATCTAACGAACTGGTGTGCATGGGTCGCTATTTAAGTTCAGACAACAAATATATAATAACAACATGGCGCTAACATTTTAAGGTTGAGTCGGACGTGATTCAAGCATCAGTTATAACCAGTAAATTTTCTTCGATTTTCCATTTTTGACTCAAGGGTAACTTGCATGATATTTAATTTCAACTGAACAGAGCATAGAAGGTTACTGAGACATAATGACTTTCCAGGGAACTCAAATGAGATCTTATCATGCTACGGTTAAGCAACATTTTGGGAAAATCAAAAGCAGCGAATTCCTGTGAAATGTTACATTGTAACATTCCTTGAGCAAAAAGCTTCCTTTTGTTTAGCTGGAGTTTATTTAAAATACATCGAAAGAATGTGTACTGCATTTATCTCAAGTATGTGAAGCCGCCATCACAATAGGTCTTAAGTGACCTTGTGGCTGAAATTCGTTTTCATTTCAACAAAGTCAGTGTTTTCCAGAAACATTTCTTAAACGCTGAAAAAAATAGACACTGCGATTGTCCATATCATCTTACTGACCCAAAAGTTAGCAGAATCTAGGATTGTTACCTCGAGAAATTTTAAAGAGAACCTTGCATGAATTTTAATCCGGCACTCGTTTGAGTTGACTTGATGACAGCTGCTTAATCGTAGATTCCAATTTAGCTGCTTGTTAACGATTAAAATTAGAAAATGTCTGCTAGCGGGCCATTTTAGACATAACTTTGTGGCTGAATCAATCTTTGATTTTATCAGCGATCCAGTGAAAATCAGTGAAAATCTCAAAACACTTTGATAAAAGTGCACTGAAACGAAACACCATTATGTCCGCAGTGATCTATCGCCCTTTTATGATAAAAAGGAACATTTTTGATAGCGATGCAATTTTTTCTTTCTTTTAATGAATTATCTTGTCGAACTAAGTGGAGTGCTGTTAGGTTGTCTCCAAAATTTATTAGTGGCCGTCGATCGATCACACGAAACCATGAAAATCAAGCATTACCATAGATTTTCTTCATGTAAGAAATTTACTGTGGCGATAAACGAGAACAAAAACTCTTGACTCACATATACACATTTTGTAAAATTTTTCTGTCATTGTTGATTGATCTTTCCCGAATAAAAAAGCTAGCTCATTCGGTAAAGATTACGTTTTCGAACTTGTTTTACCTTTTTTTTGCATAAATTCGTCGAAACGTTCTTAAGTCTTGCTTTCATTTTTATCGTTTACTTGAAGTTAGGTGGCATTTCTAAAAGGGGTTGCCTTTTTTGATTTAAGGTTTCGTTCACATGGAAATCATTAGGTAGGAGAATTAAAGCTAAAAGCATTTAAATGAAATTAAATTATTGTACTGTGCCTTGTTCAACATTCAAGGTGAAGAAGACTCATGTCTATAGCTTTAAAAGCTAGTTTATCTTTCTTGAAGAGCAAGGGATAATTTATTGAGGCGAAAACCAGTTTAAGACATTCCCCGCGCTGCCGTTTACGATAAGTTTTATTTTTTCTGGTAAAACTTAACATGAAATTAATATAACAGACTATGTAACAGTAATGTTTATCCCCTTCTTTTGTTTGGAGTGAAATCTGGTCTATAGCAAGGAAAATGTGCAAGCGCCGCTTAAATTCGTTTGGTTGATTTGCAGTGATTATTTGCAAAATGTACGCCAAGACAATTTCACAACTGTTCAATTTTTCAACCATTTATTTGTCTTTTTAGCGGCAGTTGGTTGACAGACAACATAAACGGAAGATGGTAGGAGGGGTGTTAAAATATTGGCGAGCCGTTTGATCAGTGCATATTGCACAAAAGCCAATCGCAGCATGCCAATTGTTTGCGATTCGCAGCTGGTACTTAAAATCAGACACCGGGGGTATTCTAGACATAACAATTCTCCAAATTAACATTTAGCCTCTCTGAACGACGACAATTCCTGATGAAAATGCGCGTGGGTCTCATCTGAAGAAATAAAACGAACGCTTGCTTCCCGTGGTTGTATAGAGTTTAAACTTAAGAGTATATGGCACTTAGACATTGCTGTCTCAACCTTGCAATACGAATAAATCGAGCTGATTCTGTGATTTAATAAGTCTTTGCGTGTTGCTGAATATAGGAAATTTCAACTCAGTGGCGTACTGCGCTAAGATTAATTTTTAATCTCAAACAAGTGGCCGTGGCAGCTCACTCTAATTTATGCTCCTAAATTACAAGAAAAACGAAAGATGTTATTGTTCTTTCAATGTCAGGATTAAATACTTTTTGATAATCTGGAGCATGACGGAGGGAAAAAAGGTCTAGGAATATTAGGGACATATCCAGTAGTTTGTGTCCCTTCGAATTAAACTGAAAATAAATGTTTTGGTAAAATTGTAAAATTCAAACTAGTTCGGGCTTTGAAAATATTGAACGAGAATAAATCTATGTATTAGTACGAAGTGTAGTTTACAGAGTGTAATTGAATGATTGCGAAACACAGAAAATTCGCTATGGTTTCGTGTCTGTTTTATTTTGTCAAACAGAATGGAGTTATCAGAATTCAGCATTTCTAATATTCCAATAGATAACAATAATTTGGATGATGGCTTCGGAGATTACTGCAGCATCGAGTTCTTTTAACATGCGTTTAAAAATCCCAGTCCGCGCAAAACACAAAATCTCGTAAATGACTGAATCTAAGTACCCAGGCCGCAGATTTCTATCCAACAAGTCAGATTCCTGTTTATGGAACTTCTCGTTAACGACTGCCGACCCGACCTAAGTTTTGACGCTCTCGTTCTAACAGTTTCAGTCTCGTTAATATAGAACCTCCTGTAAACCATAAATATGATATACGATAAACTGAAAAATGCCACGTTCTTGTCGACGCAATACGAAGGGCACCATATTCGATTGCAGTGCTGTGTATTCGCAGATCCAACAACTTTCGTTGAACATTAAGATTATGGTTACAAGTGAAAGACTCTATATCTAAAAATGAACCTGCACCTTCCACAGGAAACCAAAATTACTGGATAACGCTATCGTTCATAAAGTTGTATGAAAAATACAGCGATGTCTCCCAAATTAAAAGGGAAGCTGAGAAGTGACACATGAAGCACTTTTTGTTGTATGAAAGCAGAACTGTTCTAATAATATTTATGCTTTATAAACTACTATAGTGCGCTGCCAAATGTTTGTTTAAAATTGTGGTTTGCTCGACAAACAAAGAGCTCATTACAATTTCAAGACTCCTTTACGATTTTTTGCCTTCGGGATTTAACAGCAGGTGCGCTGACAAAAATAGATTATAGACCCTACCTGTAGGAAGAAAGTATTTTTAAAATTACAACCCGGGGGATAATTTGTGATAAAAGTGTATCTGGCAGTACGAAGACGCTTTGAAAAACACAACAAGAACTTTGAAATGAACTAAATTAATGGTTATCTTAAAATGAAACAGGACTGTTTTGTCTGCAGCTGACTCCCAGAAAACAGAATAGAAGTAAGAGTTTAATGCACATTAAACAGGAAAAAGCTATATTTAGCGACAGAATATAACTTTGCCAAAGCTCAACACATAAAACCCTACTAAGGTTGGAACCTTTTTGTCTGGGCTCTGATGATACATCTCTGATCAAATAAGTAGGAAACTACAATTGAAAACAGAAGCTGTACTTTACCAGCTTGCTTGGCCACCTATGTCAACTTTAAGTTGTTTGGATTTGTACTACTTCATTCTGCTTTTTCTTCCGCAGTTCGAGCCAAATTAGATACAGTCTCTGGATCTTGGAAAAAGGAAATCGCTTAACCACCTTAGTTGTCACTAAGTTTAACGTGTCTAACGCAAAATCCCACGTTTAAGACCCCCCGTTTATAATCCTCCCGGATATACGCCCTTCTATTTGCTAACAAAGATATTATTCCGGATATAAGCCCCCCGCCCGCCCCCCCCCCACGGACATAAGCCCATCTAATGTATAAGTGCGTTCCTTCAGTTTTGCGTTTCTTTACAAACATCAAAATGTTTATTCGAAAGTTATAAGGCTAATAGGGTAATAGGGTAATAGCTCTAAGACCCTGTTTCCAAGCAGGTAGGGTAACCCTAGTGCTAGGGTTACCCTAGCAGGCGGGTGAAAGATAGCCCGGGTTTGCAAGCAAAATTTCACAGGTAGGGTTACCCTACCACCCGGGACAACGAAATATGCTTGGCAACCGCACGCATTGCAAACAAAATGGCCGACAAGGGAAGGGTTGTGGCAGTTACTTCGATTCTGCTCTCGTTGCTGCCAGTGGTAGCTGCTTATCAGTGCCATGGAGTTTTGCTGTGTTACTTCCTCAGTTCTAGAAAGCGACAGCAAGTTGCCAGGTCAAAGGCGGCTATGGAATACAATAAAGCACTCGCCCGAATGCGACATGTAAAAAGGAGAATTATTCAACGAAGACGATTTCAAAGAAAACCAAGTCGTACGGATCAATGGTGGAGAAACTTATTTGAGGGCAGGATGGAGGAAAGCGAATGGAAAAAAAATTTCAAAGGGTCTGCAAACAAGTAAAAAGTTGTCCCGGGTAAGCGAGTTATCCCTAGCAGAGCGTTCACAAGGCAGCTAGGGTTACCCTGGCGCTAGGGTAACCCTAGCGCTCAGCTAGGGTAGCCCTCCTGTTAGGGTAACCCCAACACTAGGATTACCCTACCTGCTTGTAAACAGGCCCTAAATGTAATGGTATATTACTTTTAATTCGTTTCTCAGATACGTTTCATCTCGTCGTTCCGAAACATTTTTTTACTCCGCTTTTATGCCCCTCCCCCCCTCCCCCCCAGATATAAGACCCCCGTTTATAAGCCCAGCCAAAACCCCTTATGAAGTTATATAAGCCCAGAGCTTTAACGTGGGATTTTACGGTATTTAAGAGACAAAAATATTTGTTTTTAAGATAAAATTAATTTAAAACTTCCTCCTAATGTTGAAAATTATCCTCTTCACGCTGCCATCTTCCGGAATAAAAAAAGCAAACAAAAAAGCGGGCCGCGTTTTTCACTCCCTGGGAAACATTGTATCTTATCTTTACATTGTAAAAGATTGTTCATATCTTTACATGTGAGGATATTGACTCGATATCTTCACGAAGTTTCCAATATTAGGTCGAAAGCCAGTAAACGGATCTCGGAGATCTTCGGCAAGACAAGTAAGCCTTCCTAAAAGACGGAAATGTTCGGAAACGTTCGTGTGGCCTTCGGAAATCTTTGGAGAATCTTCAGAAAACTTGAAAATATGGTGAGACGAAACTGCTGCTGCAATTTCCATTATTTATTTAGAAGAAAAAATAATTTAATGATCGGTAGAAGTTACTCAGAATGTAGAAAGCCGATGCTGAGAGTTGCCAAGCAGCTTGTGAACAGCCTTAGATGACATGCTTGTCTCCACTTGAAACAACAAAAGACAGAGTGCTGGTACTTATTTTAAAGACAATCGAATTCGAGGATGTTACCAGGAAGGAAAAATATGTCAACTGAATTCGCCTCCCGAGAGGGAATCTTTTTAAAGAAACTTTGAAAATTCAACCTTTATAAATTAAAATACATTCGAAAACGGGCGAAATACAAGTAAGACCAAGTAAAAGGGATTGAAATATTTTGTTTGACATAAACAAGCATTTCAATTAACAATAGCCAAATGATTCATTTTCTCTGAAAGCGAAGTGTGATGTCATTGCAAAATATCGAATTAAATTTAATGTTATGGACAGTTTATATTTCATTTCTCGCTTGTCGACTTGATACATGATATGTTAGTTTTGCTTTTCATTTATATTTCCTTCAAGTGATAGAACTGTCTTATTTGAAATTGTGACACATTGAAACCAGTCAAATACCATGGTACCTGAAAAGCGCGGTAAATATGCAATCAAATTGCGCTAAAATATGGTTTTAAAGTGCAAGTTTACGAAATATTTCCACAGAAGAACATGCAGAAAAAGAGAGAATTTTTTGAATAGATTGCTGTTATATTAAAACTTCAATTTTCAGGGTTAGGAGAATATTAGTAACAACATTTTTGACCCAATGCCCGCCTGAGTTTAACTGTCAACAGGTGTCTCACTTGAATACGCATGTGCAAAGCACGCTGACGTTAAAATAATACAAGCTAATTTCTTCAGTGAGTTAATTCAGAGATATTTTCACCGTTGAATTTTTGGAGGAGATTTCCAAAAAAGATTTGGATCATTCAAGGAGAAAAACTTTGTCTTCTTTAGGGAAGAGTGTTCTTCCGGCGGCAAAAAGCCAGCTGCCTTGGCGCGCGAGGGTTCCGCTAATAACATCAACACACCGAGTCAACGGAGCGTGGTGAGGTAAACTTCTCGAATGGCAGGCTTAACACGATGCTTAACCAGGAGGAAAAGAGTTATTCAGGACGAGAAAGCAAACACTGAATTATCCAAATGTCTTACCACATGGGACTTAACATCCCTTGGAATTGGAGCGACCTTGGGCGCGGGAATTTACGTTGTGTCGGGACAAGTGGCGGCCAGTATCGCGGGACCGGCAGTGATAATATCCTTTGCTCTGGCAGCAATAACATCAATTCTCTCGGGTCTGTGTTACGCTGAATTCGGCGCACGTGTTCCAAAGACTACGGGATCAGCTTACGCTTACAGTTATGTGACCGTCGGTGAAATATGGGCTTTTATCATCGGCTGGAACTTGATTCTGGAATATATGATCGGTACAGCTGCCGATGCTCGGGCGTTAAGCGCTTGTTTCGATTATGTTATTGGAAATGTGATAAGGAATTTAACACTAACTTACATCGGAGAGATAAATACACCTGGTCTTGGTACATATCCAGACGTGCTATCGTTTATCGTCACCATCATTGTAACGGTTGTATTGGCGATTGGCGTCAAACAGTCTTCAGCATTTAGCACGGTTTTTAACATTTTAAACATTTTAGTCGTGATTTTCATTGTGGCAGCAGGGATATTTTTCGTTGATACGAGAAACTGGACGGAAGGAAAAGGATTTTTCCCGTATGGAGCTTCAGGAGTATTAAGTGGGGCAGCGACTTGCTTTTACGCGTATGTTGGTTTCGATATAATAGCTACAACGGGTGAGGAAGCTAAAAACGCTCCGAAATCGATACCTGTTGCAATTGTCGTGTCACTAGTTGTTATTTTCGTGTGTTACTTTGGAGTTTCTGCTGTGGTAACATTGATGATTCCGTACGATCAATTGGACAAGCTTTCGCCAATTCCTAACGCGTTTGTGCAGAGAGGATTTCCTCTCGCTAAATATATCATAGGTGTGGGCGCGGTTTGTGGCCTGTCCTCGAGCCTCTTAGGCTCTCAATTTCCCCTTCCAAGGATCATTTATGCCATGGCCTCAGACGGATTGTTCTTTAAATCATTCGCTAGCGTGAACCCTAGAACTGAGGTCCCTGTTGTTGCTACGGTGTACCCAGGACTTCTAACGGCCGTCATTGCTTTACTGTTTGACCTAAGCGAGTTAGTCGAGATGATGTCTATTGGGACATTACTTGCGTACACTTTAGTGTCCCTTTGCGTTTTGATCCTTCGCTACCAGCCCGATGTTCCCGAGGACCCCTCCTCGATGCCCCTGTTATACCTTGAGGAAGACAAAGAGGATGCCTATGGAAACCTTTCGTTGTACGATGATTACGCACAGGACGAATGGGACTACGAGATTTCTACAAATGGAAAGATACACAGTCCAGAAGCTCTGAAAAACTGGATAGAAAATTCAGACGAAGATCTATTTCGAGACGAATTTACAAAAACGAAAAGAACACACGAGGGACTACTAAAAAATAGAACGAGGCAAGGTCCCACAGCGGAAAGCTTCCGCATAGTGAATTGGGCAGTAGCCTTATTGTTTATCTCGTTCATAGGATTTTGTACAGCAATTGTTTATGGCTTGGATGCTCTGCAGAGACACAGTTACGTCATTATCATGTTCCTTGGCATTTTTGGAATCCTTAGCGTGTTCGCCATTATTGTGATCTGTCTGCAGCCTCAAAATACCAAGGAGATATCGTTCAAGGCGCCTTTTGTGCCGGCTCTGCCAATCCTTGCCATCTTTTTTAACGTGTTGCTGATGTTGAAGCTCTCTAGACTTACTTGGATCCGGTTTGGAGTGTGGATGGGCTTAGGTTTGTACGTCATATATCGTTTACTGAATAGTCCTTCATGTGAGAGTGTAGCTTTTTCAGTATAAAAAATCGAAACATCCGGGGCCGCGGTTATTTTATGCTCAGTGACGTTGCTAGGTAACAGGCTCTCGGCTCTTACAGGTAGAATTAACAGAAAACATAAATAGACCTTTATATGAGGTCGAGGCTGAACATTAACCACGTTGCTAAAATTACTTGGCAGTTCCTACTCAATTTTCCTTGCAGATCTCCATCCATACATATTGAATTACCAACCCTCGGATGAATTCCGTTTTACTTCCTTCATTGACGTGGTTACCTAAATGACGGATCAGTTATCCAACGATGTTTGAGCAAAAAATTAATCAGAACGCCTTATATTACGAAATAGCTATACCACACTAATCTGGAGTTGTTCAGTAGTCACCAGTAAAAAGCAGATATATATATATTTCTGGTTTCATTTCTAAACTGTTTTTCCTCCATTCCACAGGCACGTTGTTATATCTTGGTTACAGCCTCTGGAATAGCGAAGAAAGATACAGAACGCCTCAAGGACAGCTGAAATTTGACAGACAAGTTCTTCTGGCCGACAACTTGGACAGTGTGGACATTGAGTATGAAATGGAAACAATTCCGGCCCATAGAAACGACATGGACATTTTTCCACCCAGTCCGTTCAAATGGGACAGCTTATAAATATTCAAAAAGATCTCAGTATAAGGGGTATAATTTTGCTGTGTTTCGCTTCTGGCGAATCCTTTTATCCTCTTTAACACGCGACTTGAAAAAATCGATAAACAAATGTCTCGATGAATACGTTTTTTATACTTTGAGAACCGGCGCCTAAATTCGGGCGGTTGTAATATTGAAATGTAGCTGTAGACGGAAGGGGGGGAGGGGGCAGGGGGGGGAAAGCGGGATTTCTCGGTAGTCATTTTGATTTAAATAAGATAAGAGGATGCAAAGACGAACTTCAATAGGGTATTTTCGATAGATTGATGATAAATATGTTTGTGGAATAAAGACAATAAATTACGGGTAACTGGTAATGCGAGTCCTGTAATTGCTATTCAAAGGCAGTCATAATCAACAAAATATATCTGCATTTATTGTATTTCCGATTTTCGCTCTGGAGGGATGAGTTAGAAGGACTGACCAAGGAAGGAAGAAATTGGCCTCAACAGACATCAGGAATAGGTCGAAATAGTCCTACTGTCATTTATTTTTACTTGGAATAAAACAGCTGAAGGTGTTGCCCCTTTTGTAGATGAGTCAAGCAAACGGAACTGAACGAGTTCAACTGTTCTTGGAATGTTACCATCGAATGTTTTCGCAGGTCTTTAATAATGTTAGATGTGATTCAGATAATTCGTATTTGATAAAATTACTGCGTTGGTTATTTGAAAACTTGTCACAGCATAAAACGAAACTTTCCGAAACTATAGTTTACATAACAGTCAATAGACCTCATGCACGATAGCCGCCATATTTATTTTCGTAATGTTGTAAATTAGGCACGTGATTTTTGAGTGTAAACTTTAACTCCTATTAATTATGGTAAATTTTACTCAGTCATGCTATACTTAAGTATTGTAAAATAAAGCACTCTTAATTTTAGACAGTTTCGGCGCATTTATAGAAAACGATGTCTTCAAAGTTTTAAAAAAACTCAAGATATCGATTAGTTATTCCTAGCTAACTTAAATAGTTAAAACAATATTCCATGATTTGCCTGTCAAAAGTCATTTTTGCACAAATGTTTCACTAATGAGGCTAGCCGATTGTCGTCTCCCCATTGTTTACCCCCTGGCAAACCACGTAGCGATTTTGCATCTTAACAAGGAAAAAAATCAAAGTGCTCTATGAGCAAACCTGTAAATTTCCCGGTGCATTACGATTGACAGGAGCTAACCTTTGCATAATATTGAATTACTCTTTTCATAAAAAAACACTAATGTTTTAAAGAGGAAATATTATAATAACAATAACCAGAGCTTCTTTAACTGAAAATAGAGATTCTGACGGTAAACCTTCTCAAAATCTTTTCTCCTGACTTCATGCCCACAGCAGAAAGCTCAGTTATAAACTGTTTACCAACGCTGTAAGACATTAATTGATGACAGATTAAGCCAACCTTTTCATGACTCTTTCCTAGTCTCCATCGCAGAATCTACGTCACTCTTTCGTGACGTACGCTCGAACAACTGAGATAAACACTTTCCCCGACCAACAAATGAACCGGAAATTTTAACACACAATTAAAACGAGCTGCCTTTTAAATGTCCCCTTATCTACAAATGAACTAGAAGTTTTAACAACCATTTAATTTACGTTATTGGAACTAACAGTTCTATTTTTAGTGCAACACCCACTGTTACAGGTTGTCCTAGAGTTGTCAGACGATATATGCCTGCCATATGCTAGCACAGTGGGGAAAATACCCTATCTGGTATTATACAGCTCTCGCACTGAACGGTGATTGGTATAAGCTGACATGGAATTGAAATTTTCATAAAAAATATATAATATTTTAAAGGGAAAAAATTACAAAGATCTTTCTTCCGAACTTCATGCCTACATAATTAACAGAAGGGAATGGTTATGAAACTCGTCAAAGTTCTTTTTTGTATGTTTTTGTTCTCTTTTTTGGCCTTGACCGAGCATAAAGCACAATACTTGTTTACTGCGTACTGAGGAACTAACCAATAGAAACGTGTTGGCTACGTAATTCATGCGTAGTGTATGAGCGCAAAACAAAGATTGTGCACGGTCGTGGACCTTCTTCCAACATAGATCTTGGCATCTATCTTTGTTTGCTTCCTTGATGTTTTCTGGGCCTCATAACCAGTCCCCTATATTAAATATGATGACTACAGCAGAGGGGCTGTAAGACAATGTTGATAGATATAAGTCAACCTTTCCGTTACTTCATTGTTTTGTTCAGAAAGTTATGACGCCCACACACCTTAATTCAGTTGCATTCAGATCACTGAAGAAGAGGCAGCAGCCTCAACGTGTCTGGTTTTGTGACATTTTATCTGCGCATATTACAAAAACACTTACATACTTTATCAGGCATTATAAAATCTTTAATCCGATTGGAGAGCCTCACTTCTTTATTGATAATGTTCTGGTATTCTCAAATACCTGCAGCACTTTATCTCATCAAAAGAGGTCTCCATGGAAGTTTGATTTTCTTCTAAAACTTTTTCTTCTTGTTGTCGCTTTTGGATATCGATTTCAAGGATAGCGGTCTGAAATTGCGTTTGGCTCAGTGGGACGATAGTAGACAAGGTATGAAAACATTTTGATTTTTTCAATGGTTCGGTAATTTCTCGAAATTCGACCGGTTTGTTGGAAAAGGCTGTTACATTGCTTAAGGTTTTCTCATATTCTGGCATAGATGATGTTCGGGATCTGGCGCTGAGTCTCCTCAACGTGCAGGGCGAATTGACACCTGGAGCCAGAAATGTTTGCTCTGAAACTTCACCATAGGGAGGTTTTGTTTCGAGATTCCTCCAGTCTGCCATGCTTAGGTTCCTACCCTTAGCATTTTCTACCTTCATGGAATATTGAAATTCCGGCTGGATCTCAGCAAAGACAATATTCTGACCCTTGTTTTGGTTTTCTTGTAGCTCTGTGTCTGTTCCAAAGTCAGCCTGATGTAAAGGTTGCTCGTTACTCTCTGGCTTTTGCAGAAGCGGCTTGGAAATACTCCGGTTCCTGTTCATTGAAGCTCCTCTCCAGCCTAATTTCCGTGCTTGGAAAGCTTTCTTTTCATCTACGCCACGACAGTCTGTACCACTTGCCTCAGCTCTCTTAGATTGTGGAGTTCTGAGGGCGGCGAAGTCGTTTATACTGTCATAATCATTGCTCTTGGTCTGCAACTTTCTTAAGCACGACACGTTTCTTCCTCGCCGAAGAACAGGACTACAACTATTCGACTGCAGTTTGGGTGATGAAGGTGTCGCCTGCACTCCCTTCTCTTTAGGAGTGGTTTCTTGCTCAAAAGCTTTCATTGTCAATTTTTTTGTCTCTTGTATTCTGCCCCCAGAATTGTCAACCGCAGCAGCCCTTGAGTCAGAGCTATTATCGGAGTCGCTAGTATTTTGTCTAATTTTGTTTAAACACGACAAGCTTCGTGCTCGTTGAAGAACAGGGCTGCGACGAGTCGACAAGAGCTTAGGTGATGAAGGATTTGAGAAGGGCGTAGGTGATGAAAGTTTTTTGTTTGTCCTCTGGAGTTATTTCTTGTTTAAAAGCTTGACTTGTCAAGTTTTTTGTCTGAAAAGCTTTTTACGTTTTGTCGCCAGACTGGTGGACCACTGCAGCCCTTGCATCAGCTTTTTTCAGGTTTGGTAGTCTTAGGTCAATAAAGAAAATACTTTCATTTGCATCAGTTGCATTATTTGGCGCTTTGTTGAAACGGGGAGAGCTTTGTCCTCGTTGAAGAACAGGGTCCCTACGATGCCAGTGCAGTTTTGGCGACGAGGGAATACCATTGGGAATGATGTCTTTCCAATTTGCCTGCATTGTCAAGTTTTCAGTTTGCGAAACGTTCTGTATTTTGCCATCGGACTGCTCGACCGCTGCAACACTTATATCAGCTCTCTTTGGACTTTGGCCGGCTTTGGGAACATTGTTGATATCGAGATCTGTGATGTTATTTGCTAATTGATTCGAGCAGGTTAACCTTTTACATCGTTGAACTGTGGGAGATGAAGGAACCCCGAGCATGGGTGAAGTACAGCCAAGGAGAAAATTTCCCTCGTTTTCAGCATCATTTTTCACAGTCGGAATACAAAGAAACTGTATATTTTGAATTTCAGGTGTGTCTTCTTGAAGATGATTGATAGGTGTCAGTAAGTAGCCCGGAAGCAGCCAGGCACACCAAACAGATGTTGGACATTGGACTAAAATTTTCACTAAATAGTTTTCTTCTTGGTCTGACAATATTAACTAGTTGATATCTGTTTTTTGTTTTTTGTTTTGTTTTTTTTTTTTATTAGCCACTAATAAACATTATTTTATTTTGTTTTTTAATAACAATAATAACAATAATAATAATAATTTTTTTTTTTAAAATGAAGCACTTTATTAATACACCTAAAACATACGTACATTACACTTACATGCACTGTTGAAGTTTTACAATGTTCAATAACTTTTCTCATACACGAAAGAAAAAGAAAACGTGACAGCTAAGTAACTACACAGAACAAGAAAAAAATATACAAATACAAAAAAAAATGGGGGGGTCTATGCATTATCTTTAAGTATTACAATTTTTTAACGCTACATTATTGATATTAATTGAGAGCATTTTTGGATTTACTACGTTTACCTTGTATTGTAATAACTTTGTTAATTAATCAACTTAATACCCCATAAGTGGTGTTTTTTAGATAAGCGATTT